TGGGTCGCCGCCCAGCGGGCCGTGGCAGCTGCCTCCCATCGGGCCTGTGGCGCCGCTAGTCATGAGGCCGGGGGTCCCCAGCAAAGGCAGGGAGGTTTCTGCCAGTGCAGCCTGCAGAAGGAGAAGGACAGAAGGAACATTGGAGATATGAGTGTCACAGAAGAAGAATAAGAGCACATAACTACATTAAGTATAAAGGGAATGAGATGCATGGAGGGAAGAGGGCTGGAAAAAGAGGCAGGTGAGAGAACGATATTCAAACATTTAACACAATAATTACTAAAACACATTCTCTAAGTCTCAAGTTTTCCATTCTGTTGCAGGCTATTTTTCCTCCAGTGACACCTTGCTGACAACTACCTCCCCCCAGCTGCCATTCATATGCCCTTGTGTGGTGTGGCTATTAAAAAGTCCCCCAAAAACTTTACCTCCAAATAATAAAAACTCCTGACACTTTCGCCTGCTGCGCATTAAACTTATATACAGTGATTAAATTTTTAAAGTTTTGCCATGAGCACCTTGCCGGCGTACACTATGAAGCCAAATCATTTATGACAGCTTAGATAAATATTAATGCACATGCCCTTGCATTTGCACATGCTGCTATCAATCTAGGGTGGCTGCTACAGCTGAAAGAAGGGAAAAAGAATGAGTAGAAAGAGGGAGAGTTCCTTCCTGAATTGACCACAGGGTGGCCTTCTGAGTTCTGGAAGAAGAGAAGGTGTGAGAGGAGAGATGAGAAACATGCAATTAGAGAAAGAGGCCTGAGTTACACACAAAAAAAAAAAAAATTTAAACTTGCTTGGGACTATTAATATAGAGTCTCATTGTGCAGTCAGGTGCCTGATTCAGCCTGTCAGTCAAATAAACGGGCAGCTGGTGAGTTAGTTGGTTCATACCTGTAAGCTGGCGTTTAGTGCAGTTCCATAGCCAAGACTGGAGGGCAGGTTCTTGACAAGTGATGGGCTTCTGGATACATAAACAAACAAACAAATAAATAATTTATTGTAACTTGCCACGGACAGAAATTTATACTGAAAATATATCAAATATTAGCATAGACAGAACTAATGGCATAGAGAAAGAAGATGAGGGGAAAAAAAGAAGGGGGGGGGGGGGTAGAGGTGTGTTTCAGAGAAGACAGCAGAACCTTCTGATTTTCTGTGATCATGTAGATGTCATTGACCTTCAGATCTAGATCTAAGGAGAGGTGACAGAACTCCTACCCTGTGATCTTCTGCGACCTGCGTTTCTGGTACTCCACTTCATCTACTGTCCACACCGCCCCCTTCACATTCTCCACACGCACAAAGCACTTGTGCAGACTGAGGTTGTGGCGAACAGCGTTCTGCAGCGAGATGTGACACACAGGTCAGAGGGATGAGGTAAACTAAGTCATATTAATTTATTATCCAGCATGAAAAAAATGAAGGCTTGGAAATTGATATCTTTTTCGCATTTTGAAGAAATTCTTAACATTCATGCACCATTGATTTAATTAGTATAAAATTAGTGAGAACGAATGCTCTAGCAAGTCCTACATACAGTACATATCACTCAGAGTAAGCAGGCTAAAAGGAGGTAATCAGCATAGCGAATGGCTTATGGTGATGTCAGAAGTGGTAATGCTGGCCTTGATAATGGTGATGTCAGTAACCCTTTCTGCTCCAGAAAAGCATTATTTTTAATGGACACATCGTTTTAAAGATGACAGTGTTTAAAAAAAAAAAAAAAAAGAGTCATCAGGAGGATTAAGCTGAGCTACATGTGACATTTATGTCCAGATATTCTCAATTTGGTGTCACATCTGTTGAACGTGTGATTACAAGACAGTGATCTTTTTAATTAAATTAATTAACAAAGCTGTATTTAAATTAAAACAGGATGTATCTGTCGCACAATGAATCATTAAGGTGTTTTCATTAATTACTAAATAAGAACACCTATAGAAAAAGTCCTCTAATATTAATATGACCACAAGAACATAATTAAAACATGCATCAGACTCTACAAATAATAACCTTGGCTTTAATATCCCTGCCTCTCATATTTACCACCTCCCTTAGCTTGGTGTGTACCGCTCTTTCTAAAAGAAAAAGGTATTCAGAAAAAAAAAACAACTCATAAGCAGATCTTGCATCTGACCTGAAAATCCCAGGATTTGATTGATCTTAATGCCCATGGCTCTGAATATGATAATTTTAATATTAATGAGCAAATGAGCAGTTTTATTATGCATGCTATATAGTTAGAACTAATAAGCTTCTGGGTGAGAGAAAAAGAGAAAGAGGGAAGTGGGGTGGGGGTGTGGATCCCTCTTTTGAGCTGATGAGACCAAGCCGAGATATTAAACTACGTTTCATTTCTTTCTTTCTCTTCTACTTCTTTTTTTTTTTTTTAAACAAATTCCCTATGTTAATCAAATGACAAGCCCATTGCTGATCATTCAACTAATGCTTACAAAGGGAACTGTGGCGCTGAAGATGTAAATAGATCACCTTGGCAGACACTGAGACAAAATACTGTATTTCTAATGTCATTGTGGTATCTTTCCTATTGTAACACAGAAACAGAAGAAGACCAAGAAAGAAAAAGGATCATTTAAAAGGTACAGATGCAGGTAGTTGTGTTATTTTGTGAGCAAATAATACTGCTACAAAACCTCTGAGAACATACTGTACAGTATCATAACATTATCAACAAGCAAAACATGGCGTGTACTATACCTAACAAACTGGAAAAGGGCACTGATCTTTTTGCATGCTTTCATGAATTGGTGATCATGTGCTCATTTGCATCCCAAATCCAAATTAATTCACTTTGCTAAATCTAGTGCTGTGCCATGTCTTGCATGCTGATAAGTGGCTGTTCGAGCTTTCCCTCCAGTCCTCTGTACAGCCACAAAGGCTAAAGGTGGCTAACAAATGCCATGTAGGGGCTACAGGATAAAACACTTAAGACACTGACACCCAGTGAGGCTTTCTTTATCAGCAGGCAGACACGCTTCTGGTGAAAATGTGCTGCAGGAAAGGCATTTTTTACCATCTTTGTGAAGGCAGACAAGACAATAAAGTTGTAGGGACAGATATACAAATGGGGCCTTTTGTGTGGGTAAATAAAGTGTGCTCCCTTCATGACAGGCCAATTCTCACTTTACTCCCAGCTTTAGTTCCACATGAACACACCCTTAACCCCTCTCTTAGAAAGAGTTATGTGTTTGTGCGTGTACATGTGAGCTCCTGTGTGCATGAATTGTTGGCTTACCCCCTTCACATGGCTGAGAGCTGGTTAATACGCAAACAGCCATCTTTTTTCTTAATTAACCAATGATATGCAAGAGAAGGTGGTTTCAGAAGAAGGAGGAGGGGTGTCTCTCAACAAAAGGTGCTGATGATGGAGTGGCTGCTGTATAATTAGTGCGTCAGAGCCCTCTCCTCTCTACACCAAGCCTCCGCTATTAATTGCACCAAATTGGGAAACGATATCTGAGGCAGAATAATTCTTTCAGCTGTCATTTCCAAATAGAAAAGGTGGCACAGCGGAAAAAATAAATAAAAGACAGAATGGTCTCTATTCAAGAGAACAGTTAGAAAGAAGTAGTAGAGTACTAATCACTTGGTGCTAAATGAATATATGCTTTCTCAAGGCTTTGTTTTTGACTTCGGTGAGAGGATGGAGAAGTCTTTTATGTAAGAGGAGTGAAAGGGCGCAGCAAAGTGGAGGTGTTGCAGGGTGAGCATTCATCAAGGTTACCTTCCAAGTTGCAGCGTTGCGTCTGAAGTAGGCGAACGTGCGTGTGAACCAGCTGTAGATTTCATTAAGCGTTAACTGCATGTCAGCAGAGTCCATGATAGCCTGAATTGAGATGACATCAAATAATGGTTTACTAACGAGACCACGTAAGTGGCACACACACACACACACACACACACACACACACACACACACACACACACACCAGTGGAATGAGAGAGGGGAGAGAGAGCTGCCACAATTCATGCCGCAATTAAGTTTAATCTAATCAGGCAAAGTTAATTTATTTCCTACTCACCTGTCTTATGAGGGTTGCATAAGTAAATGGCGGTCTGACATCTGCGTTCTTATAAAACTCGTAGTTTGGGGCAATCTCTGGAAAAATAAATACTGTGTCACCACCTGAAATAATTGGTAAATTTTATTCCTTTAGGTATTGAATTTACTCAAGGTTTCAACAAATTAAAAAGGGGGAGAGAGAAAGGGGAGAGGGGGGAGAAAAAGAGAGCGGGGTGGGGTTAAAGGGGGCACATCAAATCAGCATTTTCCATGTCTAACAAAATGCATTTTTAATTAATCTCTCTCATGAGAGATCTTAAATACTAATACATCTATAAAATGAGATCCATGTAGTTAGTTAGGGTGAAGTTGAATAATTTATGTCTTCACACTAAACACAGAGAGTAAATATAAACATCAAAGATGGACTATTTAAAATTCAAAGCTTAAAACATGGAATGTCTTAATGTAATAAATATTGTATTTTTTCACTATTATTTGAACTTAATTAACATTCATGTAATATTTATGCACAGAGGAAGTTCTTGTCTATTTACACATAACGTGATTAAACCCAGGCTTGCTTTTATAAACTCACTAGACATCTCATATTGGTAAGACCAACAAGCGTCTGTGGTTGTGTGAGTTTATGTCACTACATGTATGCACTTTGGGTATGAGTGTGTGTGTACTTTCATGTCTGTGTGTGTTAAAATTAAGTACTAGAACACTGTTAATGGTTGAGAACTATTAATAGTGCAGTGCTCAGGGTTGAGGCTTCACATGTAATTTGTAAGTTCAACATTAAATTTAAATAGAAATTTGGGTTAAATGAAGAAAGTTAAATTGAAGTTAAAATGAATTTTCCTCAAGATCCAAAAATTAAGCACTTTATTTTGTCTAAGTATTTACCTGATTCAGATTTGCTTCAAAGTAAATTGTCTGCAGTGTCTGTGTTATGTGCAGTGCTGAGTAGTTGGTCCTACCTGACGACAGAGGCATGGAGTATTTGTCCGAGTGGCGTCTGCGCATGGCTCCCATGCTGGGGACATTTGCTCCTCCCAGTACCGATGGCACTTGGGGCATGGCAGCCATGGGTGTGATAGGTGCTGTGGGCGTGGTAGGTGTCTGAGGTAAGTTGGGGGGCGATGCTGAAGGTAAGTTCTTGGACATGGTGACGCTGGACACCAAGTTGAGCTGGGGTGGAGGGAGACACAGTGTGGGGGGTTGAGAGTAGGAAAGAGAGAGATACCAGTAGCGGGCACAGGGAGGGAGAAAGCAGGAGGAAAGCGCTAGTTTGTGGTTTCTCTGACAGAGCTGAGTGTCTGCTTTCCTCCTTGCTAACACAGCTGTGTTTCCACTAACAAGGTTCGTGGAGAGGAGCCAGCCCATCTCCACTAATTACAGCCACCAAATTGTATTAAAAGAATTCTAATTAGAGCATGCTGTTCAAGATTATCCAACAATCAGCCTCTGTGTTATCCTGGCCCCATCTCTCTTTATCTCTCTATTTATCACTCCCTCATTCCTGCCCCCACTACATCCACACGTAGTCATTTCACACTGAAGCAATGAGTCAGTGAAGCCTTGTTTGCTGTTGGTGTGAACTGGTAGACAGGGGCTATCTGACCCTAGTCCAAAATCACAACCCTACTCATGACGCTCTTGTTTCATTTTGGTATGAAAGGTTGAAACTATGTTACTATAGTGACTGTAGGATTATTATAGTGATCCTGTTGTCGCAGATATTGGCAGCAACTCCAAGCCATCTCAGACAGAAAACAAACAAACTGCTATTAAAAATGGAATGAGTGAGATTAAAATAAGCCCATTAGATAAACCCAGTTGACCAACCATTCACATAAGACTAATACTGATCATGGATAAATACCAGGTCATTACTGTCCATAAAAAAACAAAAACAAAAACAAACAAAAAACACAACAACAACAAAAGACCCCAGCTGCTACATCTATAAATTTTATCATAGTATTGTGCTGGCATGGATGATCTAACATTATCCAAAAAATCTGATTTCATAATTTGGTTGCCATTGTTTGCTTTGCTTTATATACATGTTTAAATGATTTCATGATTTAAAAGAATGTATGGCTCAGAAGGCTTAATAATCAAGACAAATATGTACTGCAACAGAGTTGCTACACGTTAAAATTACACTATATTAACACTAAAGTAACCCCATAGTTACCTTAGCAACCCATGGTCACCATTTTATATCAAATACCTGCAGCTTTTCAGCCATATGAAATGTACATAATGGTCAACTTTCACTTTTGCTCATTCACACCAACCAGCACAATTACATGGGTCACAAGCTGACATCAGTGTGACTGGTTAGGGCAGCCAGATATGCAAAAGGTCACTGTAAATAATTACCAATGCCAACTCATTACCTGCACATTTAAAGCAAGTACTTTTTTTGTTATACTAAAAGGCTGAGTCTAAACAGACTGTAGCCTGAACAACTTTGTGGATGGACACTTCATCAAATCATGTATCATCAAATCGACAGCATACCTGGAAGTCATTCTTGCTCCTGCTGAGATTACAGAAATAGTAGATTTACTGCCCCTAATCCAGTGAGATGTCCAGTGATGAAGTATAAAGAGTTCATATTCTTTCTCAGAGTAAAGTTGAAAAGACAATTCAAGTGCAAAAACCTCTGCTTGGACTGCTATGGTGACTCCAAACACACTCACATTCAGTCTGTCCTCATCTCCTCCGCTCCTTCAACATTAAGGACCACAGAGTGTAAGTTACCTCTGGCGCGAATACCAACTGTGCTCATTAATTGTCCATCTTTTACACTGCTTTTACATTTGCTTCCCAAATCTCATGTGAGAGGCTCTAAATGACTGGATATTTCCTAACTGACCTTTTAGTCTCTGCACTAATTTAGTTGGAATGGTAATAATATTGTTACATATTCAAACCAAATTGCTTTAATTGTGAGCCTACAAGTGGAATGCATCCGTTGTGAGAGTCTGAATTAAAACTGACTTTAAAGATGGAAGGGAATAGGGGCCTGAAGGCAGTGAGAGATGGAGGAGTGAGGGTGAGGAAGAGGTATCAGTGCTCTTTTCTGGCAGGTGTTGATAAATACAATAAAATGTCAAGTTTGAGAGACTCTGGTGGATGTAGTAGAGAGTTTCAGATTATAATAGTATGCTCACTTACAGTAGCTGTAATGAGCTGCTACAGTTATGGACTGGCACAAGGGCTGGGTGCAAAGAGAGGCCTCTGCTGAGTGCAGTGAGTGAGGATGAGAGTTGGTGAGGGTTATAGAAAGTGTATACAGTATATATCTGTATGCACTTCTATATATCACTATATACAGCTAATACTCAGAATTAGTGTATACACCCCAAAAATATACAGCGAATTAAACTATGTACTATTTATTACATTTAAAGTGTTCCCTGCAGTATTGTTTTGAAAGAAACACCACTAAGAATGCACTTGACTACTACAATCCAAATATTAATTCACTTTCCCTAACAGTCATCATTGTCTGAAATGTGCAAATCTCCATGTAATTCACAGAGGATGAGGTCATGACAGTGCGTGTGTTTATCTCAAATGCTTGTTTAGACTCTGCGTCCTGCCACATGAACCCAAACCAGACACTGAACTGCGTAATACCAAATTAAGTCTCTATAAAGGGAGAATCTTGCTAAATGGTGTATGGCAGAAAACACCTCTAAATATGCTAACTAAATTCCTCGTGTGTTCAACACACCTGGCCAATAAAACAGATTCAGATTCTGAAATTCAAAATAGATGCCTTCATGTGCGTGTATGGGCATGTATATTTATGATGTTAAAATATAATTTCTTGTCCTTTTTGGTGCCTCTTCACCCAGCAACAAACGTAACATGTTTGAGGGCATGCAATCCCATTTTGGTAAGATAGAACTGATTACAGTTAAAACGAATGGAGGTGAGAGAGGGGAGTTTGTCACCTCTCGCTCACCTGAATACACACACAAGAATAGAGAGAGCGAGAGACCTTATTATTCAGAACTTGGAGCCTTGCTAACTTTGATTCTCATCCATCCATGGCATGGCCAAAAGGTAGCATTTAATGAAGTGCAATTTGAAAAATAAATGGGGTCATACTGAAGATGGTGCCTAGTGTCTTGTATTCATCCAGCACTGATTGTTCATGGGCTTCAGTAGCCCCTGATAGGCTGATAGGCTAACACTGAGTATTCATATACTGTATATCAAATACCTGGGCTTTTCTTGTTTTTGCTGCACCTGTGATTCCACTGAGTGTAAATCAAATCAGTCATTTGAAATCTCCCAACAATCTCTCCTTTGTTACATCCTAACTTTTGGATAGAAAGTTACACACACATGTACATGCCACTCTTCACACCAAATCTTCATCTTACCTCCCCCGAAAAACCAAGGGGGAAGCCTTAAAACTGAGTACTAAACTGTTCGTTTAAGAATTCTGTCTGAATTGCCCCCACCATCAAATGCAATTATGTGCTCTTTCAAGTGTACCTTATGTAATGCAGTACTTCAATTAGCATCATTCATTCATATTCTGGCATGGATTATAGGCTGGAAATTCTTTATTGGATGGGATGGAACCAAGCTGCTGGAGTTTTGAACATTAAAAAAGGCTAAAGAGAGAGAGAGAGAGAGAGAGAATGAAAAGGGAGTTTGATTCCTGATGGAATTATGGGATAATTATGCCATCTTGTGATTATCTACATTCTTTGATAAGAGGTGATAAAGAAAATTATTCCACTGAAAGTAGGCACTTACTACACAGCAGAAACATGCTAACAATGTTTTGCTCTCAAACATTTCAAAATGTCTAAAATTGGAAAAAAAATATGTTTGCAAAAATGTGTCATCTTAATATTACATTCAAATACCAGTTGGGAGAAATGCATTTATAATCATTCAATCTAAAAGTAAAAGGCAAGAGAAAGAAAATCTAGAATGACATCGTTTTGCTTCTTCAATGACCTCTTTCACAGTTTTTGAATTTTTTTCTGTAACCTATTTCAGCAGCACTGTGGGTATTTATGTCAACCATCTTCAGCACTCAGCTGTAATTTTCAGGTGTTTGTTGTTAAAATGACATATCTTCTCTTCTTTCATTCCACTTTTGAGTGCTACTGCTGCCACTGTGCCAAACAGTCATCAGTGGCCAACAAGTTGTTTTGGCTATTATATCTATCACAAAGAAATGACCAGGCATTTTAGCAAAGGACTCCACCGCTGTGCCATCTAATACACTTCCAAACTCTATTGTCCTCTCATAATATCTGATAAGAGGCAGATGTAACTCGGTATTACAAATCCCATTCCCCATTTCATCTTCCATCAGTCACTTGCACAACTGCCAGGTGGTTAACGGTTCATTTTCTGTGTTGGGGGGAGTGTCATTCAAGTCTGTTTATGGTAGCCAGAGCAATATGCACTCACTGGTTTGGGAGATGACTTGGATTCTGAGGGCCGCATGTGCAAGTGGGTCATCATTGCCTGAAGACGCTCACGTTCTTTAGAAAGCTGTTAGGACAGAAGAAGAAGAGAGTACATTAGAGCAGATTAGAGAACAGAAGACGAATGGATAAGAGAGTGAAAAATAAAGAATATGGCACATGAGATTGGGGTGCCTGAGTGAAAAGCATAAAAGAAAGAAAAAACACAAGAAAGAAAAAAAAATGTTTGATAGATACTAAGTGAGAAAGAGACAACAGCCCTGCTTGGGATGTAAGGAGAACACGAGAGAATCGGGGAGAAGAGGCGAGAGGGTGCAGGCAGGTCAGGCAAAACAAATAACATTTCATCTTTTTGTCAATACCAGAATTTAGGTCAGCAAAGCTCTGACAGTAACAAGCTAGTTGAGCCATAAATTATGTGATCCTGAGTGTCTGCTCAAAGTCCGGTGGACACTGTTAGGGGGATGGAGCGCAGCCAGCTGCTGCTGGGAGGTGAAGGGGTCTTGCAAACAGGGTGGCAGGCAGCCACGCCTCCCTGGTCCAGTTAGTGGGCCCAGCCATCGCCTATCATCAATCTAATTCACAGCGAGTGACAGGGACTGGACCGTGTGAAAAGCTCGTGATCCCCCACCCCAAACAATATGCACACACACAAGAACCAAACACAGAGAAGCAGACAAGCAAGTATGTGTGCACACACAGAGCTGCACACAAACACAGAGCTGGACCTCGTTACTAGTGACGGCTCTCATGGAAAAACAAGGCAGAAAGGGATGGAGGGTGGAATAAATGAAAGAAAGGGAGAGAAGAGAAAAGACAGGGAAGATAACACAGGTGCATCACTGTAACTGATAATAGTGTAAAGAGTAAGTTTCAGTAGCTTAGTGTTGCAATGAAAAACAAAAAAAAAAAAGGAATAAAAGTAAATCAATTACTTGCATCCTTTTTGTCTATGTTTTTTATTTTTTAGAAGTTAATTACTTTTAAAAAACCCTAACAGTTAAATACAAACTGTTTATTGGACCAGAAAATAACTGTATGGGAGGACACGCTTGGCTTCAAGCAGGCTTTCAGGAGAGAAAAGGACAAGAGAGGGTGAAAACACAAATTACAGCTGCATCTCCTTCTACAGCTTATGAAACTTGTGGCATCATATTCCTAATATTTCTAGGAAATCTTGAATCTTGAAAGTTGGTTCCATTTTACAAAAAATGTCTTTAAATGTTGAGGGGACCTGGTCAGCTCTGACCCAAAATATGCAAGGGTATGGTTTCAACTAGAAGATTGAAGATTTCCAGGTGGCACTTTGTTTGAGCCTAGTTTAAAATATACATATCCATTTGATTCTAAAGGAAGAGAAGCAGTTGTTGGCAGTGCTGAGTAATAATGTCGCTCAATCAGTGCTCTCATTATCTAGCCAGCGTGACTTCTTAATAAGGTCACGCTCCACCTACTGAAAATAGTTCCCTCCTTTTGAGCTTTCTTCAGGTGCAAAGTGCAGTTAATTAACACAGCAGACTGGCAGAGATGCGCTCACTATTAATTGGAAAGAAAAAGAGGGGGGGAAAGAAAGCAGAGAAAATAAAGCGCCTGCTTAATTCAATTAAAACAACCATAATGGCTTTCGTCGTAAGGCCTGAGGATTCCTTTGTTTAGTGGCTTTGTTGAATTCACTAGGTCCTGCTTGAATAAAACAGACCACAGTATGGCCTTTCCTTCACTCACACAACTTTCAAAATATAAAGTTCTGAATGGATGATTGTTAACTTAGTTCAGACATAAGTTCAAATGGTACAATGTAACAATGGTAAAAAAAAAAAACCCAAAACAAACAAACAAACAAGAAAAAACATTACAAATAGCTTTCTTCCAACTCTGTACTGAGGTGGGTTTGGTTCTTTATTACCTGAAAGAAAACTTACCTGTATTTCCAGCTGCTGTACGACTTGCATCTGGACTCTACACTGGGCTGTGCTGCGATCATCAAGGGCATGTTCACTGTTTAGATGCCTGGAGGTGAAGGGATGGACAGAGAGAGAGAGAGAGGTTACGCACCAACTTTAAAATCTATCAAATATATCAAAGCTAGTCATTTCTATTCATTTTCACTATGATCAGAATTGTGGAGGATGATAATTACACTATCAACTTCATCACTGTTATGCTTTGATGATACAGTTTCTATACTGAGACAGTTATCTATAAGATCCTGTTAGGAACCATTGTTACATTCTAAAATTAGGTAATCAGAAATAACATGACAGCCATATTTAACATGACAATAGACCTGCACCAGTTCAGATGGCTTCAGTGCCACCCTAAGTGCTGCTTTCTACAGATAATAAAAGATGCTAGCACAGCAGAACGGCTTTGTCTCCTTCGTTTATCGAAAACAATACACACAATTTAACACCAGCAACATTTGACACACAAAAGCAGCTCTTCAACTGAAGGTGCATTATCCAGCAGCAGACATATTAAATGTATCTGGTGTGTTTGCCTCATTAGAAGAAAAAGGCAGCGAGACAGCCATAACAGTCAATGAGGGTTTTTGTCTTGATTGGATTTCGTCTGTAGGACACAAAAGAGCCTCACCATTAAGATAGACCTTTATTCCCGGTAAAGCACACATACACAAATACACACACAAACACAGTACACAAATATAGGGTGAAAAGGGCGTTCTAAAGTGTTGTGATGCTGGGTAATGAGCCTCTATCTAAATGATCATTGGTGACAAACTCACAAAGCAAGCTTTGAGGAGGCATGCTTATGAAATGCCAGAGCTGCCACTTTATCTCTAGTAATTATAGGTTAGCTTGCAGACCCTTCAATGATCATTTACAGCACAGCCTCCAGTGCATTAGAGGGAGTACAAAATCTCTCTCTCTCTGGCTTTCATTTATCTAAGAACACACACACGCTCGCTTACATTATCATGAACTTGCACAAACACTCATTGGCACACAAAAAATATGCACAAACACATTGAAAAACACACTCCCAACACATATTCATCTATTCTTTTCCAAACCCCTCCTTTCTTGTTTATCTGCAGTGTGGAAAACAAGACAACTCATTGAGCTGGTGTCTTTTGGCCTGCCAATCAAAAGCTGAATAGAATATTTGTAATCACAGTAGCTCTGTACCTTTCAATTGCCCGGCACACGTTTAAAACCATTCCATCTCATCACTGTTTGCACTTTTCTAATCATTTCAAGACTAATGCTCAGGATTTTTTCATTATAAATCAAGAACAATTTTTTTAAAAAGAGACAAGGGGAGTTTGGTCGATGAGGGATAGTGGCAGAGAGGGGAGGGACAAACTGGTGGATTTGTCCAGCCTTGTGCCTAATTGCTGTTTCAGAATGCGCATGCAAAAAGGGGGCATTTCATTAATCATTTAATCACGTCCCTCGCAGGATGAGGGAACTAATGTTGCAAATACCCTTTTCATTTCACTGCCCATAATGCTATCATATGCACTTGATGTATGGTGTGTGTCATGAATTACAGATGCTCCAAAAGCACAGTGCAGGCTGCTCGATGTCCCTGAAGATACCTCATTACAAAAAAAAAAAAGGGGGAAAATGTAATATTAAATTTGCTCATCGACAAGCAGATTGTTTTCTTTCTATTTTGTTGATGTGTGTGTGTGTGTGTGTGTGTGTGTGAAGGCCTCTCGATAGTCCTCCAGCCAGTAATTTTCCTACACACACCTTCCATTGCTGGCCAGTTAGCAAGGCGATTACAGGCAGATTACTACATGCATTTATGAAATATTTAAATGGCAGCATGTCCTAGTGTGCATTAATAATGCCACAGAAAGACAGAAAGGGGAGGAGGGGGCAGACACAGAGAGGAAGACAGAAAACAATAATGAAAAAACAAGATGTGGGTAAAAAGGTACTGTCAATGTATTTCTTTCCTCTCTGACCTATAAACATTACACAAAAAGTCCCTTTAGCCTTATTTTATTTCCTTCCAAACCCTTTAGATCTATGTTTTTACTCGTGAGAAAGTTGCCATTACACTGATTGATTGCCTGTAATTGTCCGGGTGTAGCCATTTAAATTTAGAGGTGGAGGAGACATGTTTAACTTCTAGAGCTGGCTGGTTACTGTTTGTGTTTACTGTTCATGTCTCACTGTAGAGGAACATTGATTTCTGCCTGGAAGAGGGAATTACCCAGGTGACTAAGGCCATGAGGACAGGAAAGAAAGGATCATGAAGGCGTTTGAGAGATGTAGCAAAGGTATAGAAGTCAAAGTAAATAACAGCAAACAAAGAGATAGATAAATGGAGATGGGGGGGGGGGGGGGGGGGGGGT